CCAATCACAGAAGACAGTTAGCCGTAACACAGAAAGAATTGCAAATTTTCGCCGTCACTGGGATTTGAACTCTAGACTTGCCACTTGGGGGTTGACAACCTATCCACTTCACTAGGTTGCCACACCCCTGATGATGAAATATATACATATTCATTAATTTATTAATTTATAGAAAAAGTGGAGATCTAGGACAAGACATTATTGTAGAAATTTTTGGGATGAAGTTTGTTGTTCAGTGGAAAGCATAGTATTCAAAAGATATAGATACGTTAATTATCAATGTAACAATTAACAAATAATTTGTTTATAGGTCATGATAAAATTGTTTAGAATGGTAGTGAAAGACAGGAAGTACATATTTGGAGTTTTTGTAGAAGCTTTAGAAGAAAAATTTGCAATAGGAGCACATAAATCAGCTGAAAGTTCAGAAGGCAATATTATTTAACATTGTGTATAATAAAATATATCAAGGTATAGAAAGGTTTATTGCTGGTCAATTTTACGAACAAATTTGTATACACAGCTTGAAGAATATAAAAACTCTATAATATTATCTAAAAAAATTGGTAACAAATTAATAGTAGAGTTATTCAGATTTACTGATTACTGAATATCAAAATAAATTCAGGTATGGTCCGGTGCAAAAAGATTTGTATACCAAAAAAAATTTAATAAAAATTTTTATATATATAAGTTTAAATTTTTTTTTAATAAATATAATCAACAAGTTTTGGGAAATATAACTATATAAAATAAATTATTATTTGTCATTAGAATCGTCATGGTTATCAGATGACAAAGATTCATCTATTAAATTATCTATCAAAATTATTTGATGATCAAATTCCAAATATTTTTTTGCATTATTAAGTAATTTATGCCAAAATCCAGTAATTATATGTAAATTTATTTTTTCATTAAAAGCAAATAAAAGCTTGTTTCTAATATCTAGAAGACTTGTATGTGAATCTGATCTTGATACCTTATCTTTTACAATTGCCCAAATGCCTTCGATTGGCTGAAGTTCACAGTAATACAGAAGGGTAAAAAAAACCTAATGTTGGTACTTTTTAGCTATTTTTACACATGTGAATGAAACTTTTTCTTTATTGTTTTTTATAAATTATAAAAGTTCTGTTTTATATAAGTTATCAGAACATTTTATATTTTTTTTGGTTAGCCAATTTATAATTTCTTATTATTTTGTATTAGATGATGGAATTTGTTTAACACGTCACTTATGATACTGTGCATCATCTATGTGAATATTAACAGAACCATATTTATTAGCAATTAATGCACAAAGTTTATTAAATAAATTTTCAAATATATTAGCATTAAAATTGTCATAATAGTCAACCTGATTTGGAACAAGATTAGCATTCTTGATTATATTAGAAATTTTTTTCATGCATCTGCATTATTTCTTTTATGCTCACAATTTCCTAGTAGTTTAATTGATGGATCCCAAATATGTACTGAATTTGGAATAATTTCACTATTAAGCTTATTAGTATTGTCATTACGAAAAACAATTATTGTTCCAAAAATTACTACTAGAGGGTTACATCCTGATGTATAAACAATACCTTTATAAGGAAGCCAAATATTAGATGAGTTTTGATTCAAGTGACTATAAGATTCATCTATAAAAACCTCTGAACGATATGATACATTGTTATTACCTTCAATATTAGCAAAACAATATTGAAGATATTGATAACAAAATGCAACATTATTTAGTGATTTATGAAGAATATTTCTTCATTCATTATGCCCATAATAATAGCCTAAACACTTTAATATTCAAAGAAGTTTTCATTTAGTCAAGACAAACCCATTATCTAATAAAAAATTTAATAAAATTAGTGTAGATAATTGCATGCCAATACTATTTGCATATAAAATTTTATCACATAAAAGTGCTGTAATTTCTTCTTTTAGTTGTACTTTAGATCATCTAAGATTTTTAAAAGGTGAAAATGAACCATCATTATGTTTATTCCAATCAGCTATCACACTTCCAATAGTACCTTCTGAGACATGCAGAACTAAGGCAACTTGCTTGCATAATGAGAACTTTTGATGTTATTTATCTATTGAAGTAGTATCAGAAAAATATTTGTAAACATTAATTATCATTTGCTTTTCATTCTCTGTAAGTAGTGAACCATCTCTTTTTTCATTAGAAGTAGACATTATAAAATGCAAAAAAAATTAATGTGCTATTGTTCTATATATGCTTTATAAATAAATGTAAAAAAAAATGATGTTAATAAATACTTTGTATAAATTACATAATACTCAAATTATTGAATTAAATTTGATGTACAAATCTTAATGCACCGGACCATATAACCAATATAAGAGATCAAAATAAGTTTTCTTTTTGTTAGAATCTATGTAGTTATGTAGTTTGAAAAAAAAAATTTAATAAAATATAATTTTATCTTGAATGATAATATTTTATAAATAATACTTTGTAAGAATTGAAATCTATATAGTGTATAACAGTTTTTCCTAAATTTCTCTGCACTATTATAACACACGGTCCTTTCGAGAATGCATTTCACAGAAAGATCTCACTTGTGCACATCTAACGAACCCTTTTTCATATTAAGATCTTGAGAACTGAAGAAGAATCTTGAGAAGAACGACAAAATGGTTACCATCTTTGAAGGTGTTGCATGTTACAGGAAACCATTAATTTTTTACATTCTTTATATCATGTGTTCGTAGAACCCCAGCATTAACTTTGTTTAATAGAGGTTTGAGTATTTTAACTAAGACTTTGGGGACTAAAAACCTAAAAATGTAAACTATCGATTTGTGTAACTTGCAAAAATCATATGCAAAATTTTTTATGTGTGACATGCTGATCAACTGATAAGGAAAACGTGCCACGTGTCATGAAACACGTATAAATGATATAAATGAACATCGCGAATTTATAATGATTAGCTTGAGAATTATCATGACATGTTTAAAAGTAATAAATCAAATAACTTATATAATTTTAAGTACTTTAGCCTTTGTACTCTTGGAGCATTTAGCAAATGCGCATTCTATATCCTGGGTATATGAAGATCTTGTAGCGCATCCTCAGTATAAAATCGTTATTTCTGAACAAATCCCGAATAGCAGTCTTGAAAATTTTGTATTTGACGAAGTACCTTCGGTTAGTTGAAATTTTGCTCTAAAGACTATATAATGTCAATATATATTTATTTATTTTCGATTTTTCAGGAAAATAGCATAGTTTCCTCAGTATCTAAAGACAATTCAAAAGATGGTGCTAAATCTAAATCAACTTCAATATTGATGCGTTCAGATTCCGGACAACCTTTTCTCTGTCAGATACCATTCGTTGCCAACCAAACCGCTGTAGAAGAAAATAAACAAGAAGAAAATAGGAACGATGTTGACCTTATGAAGAAAGGTCTTGATCTTTTAAAACCTATGGAATCCCATTGTCTTATTCATGTAAGTATATTAGACTAAAATTACATTTAAATTGTCATCATATTAATGATCGTCTTAATCGTATTTTAAATATTAGCAACACGGTTGGTGGACCTACGAATACTGTCATCTTAAGTGAATAGATAATACATTCTTAAAATCATTATGAAAGTTTACTGATAAATTTATATTTATTATATATATATATTTGTTTATTTTTATTACAGACATGTTCGCCAGTATCACATGCAACAACCTGGAGCCGATGAACCGAAATCTATTTTTACTTTGGGACAATATACTTCTCTTCATGCCTCGTTACCGCCTTCGAATAAGGATAGTGACGATCAGAATTCCTTGGGTACAGATTTACAGGCTGGTAGTGGTAAAAAATATTTGGTTCAACGTTGGGGTGGCGGGTCTACATGTGACTTGACAGGTAAACCTAGACAAGTTGAAATACAAGTATGTGATTATTATTATTGAAAATCTTAATTTCTCTTATTCTTTTGCTGAAAACTGCCTATCATATATTTTATGTAAAAATATAGTTTCATTGTAATCCGCAGCCTGGTGACAGTATTGCTATAGCAAAGGAAACGTCTACTTGTAATTATCTTGTAATCATTCACACTTCAAGACTATGTAATGATTCCGCATTTCTTAGCAAAACAACCCTCAACGTTAATAATATAGAATGTCATCGTGTAGTACCTGATGTGTGTGAAGTTCTGAAATTTGTGTCGATTATTATTATTTAAAATATTATTATTGACCTAATTCATTTATATAGGAGAAGTATGAAAGTGATATGGCGAAAGAACAAAAGAGTTTGGAAAGCAGTCCTCAAGAAATGGAATCGAGGTACAGTGTCCGCCCAGGTTTACCTACATAATCAAGTTTTTTTCTGATGAATCGTGTGTGAAATGCATATCATGATTCGAGTTGACTTTAAATTGGTCAATTTGAACTAGTGTTCCTGTTGATAACTAAAGGGTCGTAAGTCGACTTTATTGACCCTATATCTATCGATCTTATAAGCCTATTTAAATGGTTCCATTATGTCAAGTAAAAACGAATCTAGGGATCGATCTCCAGGGCCAGCCCTGACATAATGACAGACATGAACTGTAATTCTCTATGCCAAATTTTTTTTTTTTTTTTTTTTTTGAAGATTTCGCACTTCTGATCGACTAATAAAAATTATAAGAAAAATTAATTTATTGAAAAATCATAATCATTTCATATGAAAAATATAATAATTTTATTGATATATCATCAAAAAATTATCAAAAAGAAAATCTACAAAACATTAAAAATGTCAATATATATACGTTGCTAAAAAAAAAGTACAGTGCAAAGGCATGTCGGGTATGACCGTATGAATCCGGAGACGATCCCAAGTCCGTTTTTGCTTGACTAAGTCGTTAAAATTTATTGGCTTGGCCTGTCGTAAAATTTTGACTGGCCAGGATCACTATTATTGAACTACTCATAACGAACATAATTGTAATTATGTGAACTAATCTATTATACTTTTTATTTTTCTTAATTATATTAGTAGTGATAAAAAAGAAGATGAGGTTAATAAACCTGAAAATAATAATGCAGAAAAATTGCAAGAAATAGCTAGTAAAATTGCCTTACATTTAAAGAAGAAACAGTCCGGATCAGGAAATGTTGATTCTACAGTAGAAGATGAAAAGGAACCTGCCTCGGGAATTAAAATATATTTTATGCATGAGGGTGATCGATTTGAAGAAATTGATAGTAGCAGACTCAGGAGCGAAGGTGGCAGTAGTGAACTCAAGAATTCAGATATTCTCGAAATTATTTTGGAAACTGCCAATTCAAAAAGCAAGAGTAATGCATTAAACGAGAATCACGGCTCATACAGCCACCAAGCACACCTAAGCCAGTTATTTGAAGAAGCGAAGGCCGATGATGAATTTGAAACTAAGGAAAAAGATAATAAGCAGGCTACAAAATAGATTCGCTAATTATATAATATATATATTATAATATAAACAATTATTATAAACTGGATATTAGTTATTATATATGTAGTTAATAAAGCCTTGGATTTTGTACGTGATTAATTTTATCGTTATCGTTATTTTTGATGTTTCGTGAAGGATGGTTTTTAAGGACCTGATTGGCAGTTCGAAACAAAGCTCTAAAAGATTAAGTTCTGATCAATTTATTATTTCTTATAATTTAGTAATATGGATTCAGTTCCAAGCCCCAGATTTGTTATTGTTTCCTGTTTAGATCACGGTCTGTTTAAAGTCTACATAATCTGTTTATCGTTATCGGTTTTTCGAAGCTCTGAACTAGCTTGATTTGGTAATTATATAATTGTTTAATGTACGTATTAGGCATAGAACATCTCTTTTAGAATGTTGTCAATAATAAAAATTATAATAAAAACATATGAATTTATTATAAACTTTGAGCTGAAGATCTTTTTCAACTTAACTAAAAATTATTTTGTGCTTATATAGAACAAAAAAAAGAAAAAAAATTTGTTAAAATTTTGTTAATTTTGTCTATTTTAAAAGATGTAATTTTTTCAAAAATAATTATTTTTTAATTTTAAAATGATTATATATATGTGTGGAACAATTTTATTTAGAAGGCAAAGGAATTATCTTAGTATAAAAATGAATTGGTTATATATTAAATATTTTTATTTATTTATATATAATTTATTTATTTTGATTTTTTAAGTAAACTTGTTTAATATAAAATTTTATATATTATTTATAATTTGTTATTTAATTTTGTATATAAAATTTTTAATTATAAGTTAAATAATTAATATATTTAAATTATATATAAAAAATTGCTTATTTTTTTTCTTCTTTTTAACAGTCTTGCTGAGATTTTTTTCCATGTTTTTTATATCTTTTTGAATTAATATCTTCAATATTTAAAGGTTACTAAACCTTGACCTTTCTTGGTTTGTACTTTTAAACGTTTTAGAAGTTTATTGCAAAAATCTCTTTTAGGATCAGAAGGTTTTATCAGGTTCTATCAAAAACCAGCTGTTGTTATAAATTTATATAGTATCTCTTATTGTTAGACTTTTGGTTATATATTACATCTTATGACTTTAGTTATTCCAAATTGGGCTCTAATTCATGTCTGTTACTATGTAGTTTTTTAATTACAAATATTTTTGAAAATAAGTCAGTTCTTTAGATGTCTTAGATTCTTAATATTATAGAATTGCAGTTTTTTATTTTTAGAAATATATCTTTACAATTGCTGTCACTAAGATTTAAATTAGCAGTCTTGCAATTTGTAATCTCAGAGCATAACTGCTATACTATTGTTACAAAGTAGATTTTAGTATAGTAGTATTAGTAATTATATATATATTCATTATTGTATTTTATATTATATTTATTATTAAGTTATTAGTTATTAGTTAGTCGATAGTTATATTATATAGTAAATAGATAAAAAAATCTTAATTGGCTATTAGAAATGTGGTACAGCTATATAACACTAAGTAACATCTGTGATATTACTATTGTCTTAGAAACCCCAAGTACCTCTATACAAGTTTTATGTATCCTAGCATCAAATTACTATACCAAGTATCACAGTACAAAATTCCAAGTATCTTCAATATGAACCTCAAGTGTTCCTGCACGAACCTCAAATATCCTTGCACAAATCCCAAGTGTCTTTGTATGAATCCAAGTGCCTAAACATAAGCCTCAAGTGTTTCAAGCATGAATGACAAATAATATAAATAATATCTTCAGTTGTCTCTGCATAGTTTCTACTATTCCAAGCATAGTATCATTTAATATTGTTCAAACTTTCACTATTCTAAATACAATAATATCTAATATTGTTTGAACCCCTATTATCCTAAGTACAGTATTAAGTAATGTTACTTAAATCTCTACTATCTTCATTAGGTAAAAAAATATATAAAGGGTAGCTTTTACTTTTCTCTACCAATTCTAAGTTCCTATACTTCAACCTAGACCTTCTTACCTTTACTCCTAATTTGTAAAAGTGATATTCCCTTTTTAAAATAATTCCTATAGGCAAAGTTGTCACTGTGTGTTATTTAATAAAAGTTAATCTATATATTGTTACTATCTTGAACTATTTGTCTGCTGCTGTGTAGTAAAGTGAACTACTATACCTTCATCCTGTATATATTTGCAATAGTCAATCACTGTACTAGGTAACCTTGTTATTTGGTTGTATCATACCAAGAAAGCTGCAACCCTGTAACACTATTAACTCTAAAAGTCAAAAATTATTTATAAATAATATTAAAGAATATTATAATATATATAAATTTATATTATTTTATCAAAATAAGTAATTGGAACTATAAAAGTTTAACAACTTAGGAAAGTAAGCAGATTGTTAACTTTCAAGTAACAGGTTCAATGTTTAAATTTTATAACTAGCAAATTTTAAAATTTATAATAACTCTTTATGATCAATTAGCTAGATTTATACATCTGTAATTTAAATATATTGTAATAAAATTTACTAAAAACTATCAAGCTATAGCAAATTTTAAAGTGATAAGTGTCGAGTGGAAGATTTTTAATTTAAAGAAAAATAAAATAAATAAAAATAACTAAAAATAAGGAATAAATATTTAAAAATAAAATTTAAATTCAATAGCCTTCTAGATACTATAAAGAGCTTTATGATAAGCCAGTTGTAGAAAAGATTTGACCTATTGTCCTTTTTGTATTGGCTAGGATTAACAAATAGTTTACTCTGTACAAGGATTACCTGTGCTAAACTTAGAAGTATTTTAAGACACTAGAAGAGGCAATTAGTAACAGATAATTAGGCTGTTTTAAGCTATATATGGCTTTTTAAATTTCAATAACATAAAGCTAGTACCTGCCAAAGTACTATTTACAAATACAGCTATTACTTTATGTTATTACAAGAAAGAAA